ACGAAATTTAATTTTCGTGAAAGCTCGCCACAGAAATTCACCGTACAAAAATTAAAATCAATTAAATTATGTAATATAATATTAATACATAACGCTACGTTAGGCGAACTATATTAAATAAAAAAAATACGCAAGTTAGCGGCTGCCGAGGGGAACGCCGCAAAAGGAAATGGATGCAAACCTCTATAAATTTCGGTATCTCTCGACAAATCGTGCGGATACTAAATTGGAAGGTTTCGGTTGTGCAATAACCGAAGCGAGAGCGCGCTTGGAAAAGCGCGCTGGTTATGCTCCAATTTGCCGCGCTCGCCGCGTTTACCGAGCCGCGCAGATTGCGCAATCGCAGGGAGATTAACTCGCGGGCGTTAATTCGCGCGAGATCGCGCGGACGAGCGCTCGATACTGACGCTCGTCTGAAAACACTTGCAGACGCGGACGCGGGACGAAACAAGAAGAGCCGGGTGACGAGACGGGACGGAACGGAACGGGACGGTCGTTTGCTAGCGCGTGGTTCGCACGCTTTCTCGCAAAAACCCGGAGGATTACTCAAGTCCTCCTTCAAGTGTTCGCTTCCTCGTTTTGCGCGCGACGCTTGTGATTTTCCGCGCATACGCGTACCGTCTTCGTGTACCTGGGAAATCTGGAAAACTTCTTCGTTGCGAATTCGCGCGCGGGATGAACGAAACTCCGACGTAGGATTTATGAAAAATTGTGTTTTATGTGAAGCAAAAAATAGCAGCATATGATTTTTATTCCTTTTCTTAATGAGATTTTTCTCGTTTTTGTATCTCGTATTTGTCTCACATTTTTTATTATTGGTTTTGCAATATATATTTAATATATATTTATTTCTATTAATTAAATCATCAAGAATTAAGTACAAATTATTTCTTATATATTTTTATTGAAATAAAAAAATATTTAGCAATTATAAAAAAACATGTAGTTCGTTCTACAGTGGATTAATTAATGATGTATTAATCATAGATCATATGATGAATACATGATTTACATGATTTATTACATGTGGTAATTATGCTAAAAAAATCTATATCGCACTTGCCTTTTTGAATAATTTAATTACTCTTTAATATGAAAATTGTAAATCATTTTTATCATGTTAATAACTAATATGTTGTGCATACGTTATGATTAAAGAACAGAGAGTATGTAGTTTTAATAATTGATTGATAATTATTTGTCAACGCACTATTAAATGACTGCATCGACAATAAATCTAAATATTATGTATATGATATATATATTTTTTTAAATAATTAAATCTAATTCTTCAGAATAAATTTTACAATTATATTTATATTAATATTTGTTTCTTAAATTACTTTTAATATGATGTTTTATTAATTAACGTTTTATTATTGCTGAACATGAAAGCAAAAAGCGAAAAACAAAAAATCGAAGTTAATAAAGTCGAAATGAATAAACTTTTTCTTACGCGTCAAAGGTAACACAAATCTTTGAAAAAAAATGGCAGTGTCATCATGCGCAATATGCGTTCTAAGAATTTAAGCATATCTCTATTTGAAAGTGTTTTTAATTACACTGATTTGCTCGATGAATTGCGTTAACGTAACTGCTTGCTTAATAGTGTTAAATAACATTTCAATTAAATAGACTTTTACAAATGAAATTTTTATTGCATTAAAGCAATCTTTTCAATCTTTATAGATACATAATATTTTTTAAACAATAAGATCATAGATGGCATTAATCGGCGAACAGGGACTTAATATTAAATAATTTTTCTTTGTTTCTTAAATTAATATACATAAATTAAAGGCAAGTGCTTATCCGCTTTGATTATTGTTATTGATATTATTGTTTATTGTTTAATATAAAATTTAAAAATTTGATCTGCACAATTCTTTAAATATACTTTCAATTTTTCTAGAATCTAGTTTCGTTTATAAAAAAGTAACGCTTGACAATTTTACAACATTTTGTGGAATGTTATCAGATTTTGCTTGCTTATTACCATCAACAATCAGCAACGCAATCAGACGGCTAGATCGTGTCTTCAGATTTAGCGAGAATTGCGTGAACCTCGGAAAAATACATCGCGGTTCAAAGTACAAGACTGCCAAGTGTCGCACAGATCTGTATAGTATCTGTATAGTATCTGTAATACGTTTATTTCCAGAAGGGATTACGGAACGCGGCGATTAAAATCGACGGCGACAAAAAAATCGGCAAAAAGAAACTCGCGCGAACACGTTCTGTCATTGAGCATAAAATTACATGCGTTATGCAATAAAAATCGCAAGAATATCATCGATTATCAAGAATCAACGAATCAACGATTATCGAAAATCATATGAACGTCATTGAACGTCAAATCGATATTTTTGCTCACTCGGGATATGGAATATCAAAAGAGAGAGGCTTTAGGGAGAGAGAGAGAGAGACGAAGAAAAAAAAAGTCATAATCATAAATTAATAAACATTAAAAATGAGCGCACATGATCTCGGTGGCATCGAAGCGTATTACAGAAACATCCGCGGCTGATCAATCGCGGAAGATAATCGCGGACGTGAACGGTGCCTTCGGCTTTTCAATTCGCGTTACGCAAGGAAGTGGTCGTCGTCGTGATATCTCGCCGAGGAGAAGACGACTGCGCGCGACACGACGGGACGATGAAAGAAAGACAGGCAAAAGACGAAGAAATCGACCCGACGAAGGTCGAGTGTCATCGCGATGCTTGTCATTTGAGTCACGCTCAAAAATCCGCGCGGCCAGCAACGGCGCGATATCGCGCTCGCGCGTTGAGAAATGTGCCAAGGTCAGTCACGGATGTCGATTTTATAGCGAAAGTGGTGCAACGACGTTGTTGCGCGGATGCCGGCTCGCAGCGTCGGGGGGGGGGCAGAGAAGCGTTCACCAAACTCCGAAGGAACCCCCGCCGATTCCTTGGACATCGAGACCAATAAAATGTCGCGAAACGTCGCGCTTATATAAGAGTGCAACGCGAATTGTATGCAACGTAAACATATCGTAATAAGGGAGACCGTCGCCGTCACAATGTCGACGATTGTCGTCACAGACGAGACTTTAATGATCATTTCTTCCAATGTAGATTAACTTTGATCAAACTTTGATCATCGGTTTAATTTACTTTTTAGTTTACTTTTTTTAGTTTGAAGAATTAACAAGAGATAGACTAAATTAAACAAAGATAAAATAAATTAAAACAAAATTAATGGACATAAAATCTTATATCTGAATATATATACATGGTAGATATATTCACCGAAGTAATTTATAAAATCATACGGCATTTTATGAATTTTTTTCGACATGTATTTATTTATGTCGCAAATTCTGACGCCATTCGCGTACATTTACATTTGTTAGGAAATCTACGTCATCGAAGTGGAAATATTTCGTTGTCGTTAAAAATCGTTTCTATAGCCAGAAGTTGCGATAGATTATTTGGGCGTGTGATTCTCTTGGCTCTCGTTTTTGACATTATAATTCAAGATGACTGAGTTAGATGGATATCATCAATGTCATCCTTTATCCGTTAAGTTTCATCTGAATTGAATTTAGGTCATCGACTTATTTCCTCATAGGACGTCTCTCGACGAAAGCGATTATATGATCGTCGAATAAGCAACTCTTACGTTAAAAAATAAGCCGTCGTTACGCTATAATTACATAAGCGTCGTGAATGTGCTTATATGATTTAAGTTATAAAATGTACTTGAAAAAAATGCTTAGCTTGCGCATTATCGAATACTATTTTCTTCGACAAAGGTCGGAAGAAAAGCAAACATTAATTACATAATAATTATTTGTATAAATGTTATAAATTTCTGAAGTATATGAATTCTGCCCATACAAACCTGAAGAGTTTATTAAATTTAAGAGTCTAATAAAAGTACAAGCGAGGCGTTTTCTATTAATTAACTGTCACTCGAATAACATCATTGACATAAACACTTAAAATAATGTAAGATAAATGTAATGCATGCAACATGTGTTACGATTTTTTATTGTCTAATTTTGAAGCTTAATCCATCTCTGTATGGTTTGAAGTAAGTAGTGAATATTTTATTATTATACTATTGTTTAGCAAATGTTAACTTCTTGCGTATCATGAGAATCTTTAGCGCGAAACGACAATTCGACAGCCGCAAAATTTTCAAACCCGGTACAGTTGAATGTCTGTTGCAAAGTTTTCAAGGTCAACTTTGTGGAGCCAAATACATAATTAAAATCATCACACGTATTTTTGTACGTAAGGCATAACGGAGTTGCTGACGCACACTCCACGAACCGTAAAATGCCATTTCTTTTAGTTACATATATACTTTATAGCTTATAAATTTAAATAAAAATATACATAATTAAGCAATAATTCAATTTTGTTTTTCCTTTAATTTTGCAACATCATCTTTTTAAAATATTCATGATTATATGAACTAAATAAAAAAGATGGCCGTGAAAGATCCTGAGGTCGAGCAAATTATTTTTATCGAATTGGAAAAAATCTAAAATTATAAGTCCACCTAAATCAAGCTAGATTAATTAAACACATATGTAATGCATATTGAAAATGGTAAATTATAACGTGCGATAAACAGGTACAATGAATGAGGAACGTCATTCCAAAGTAATTTGATTTTAATTGGTAGTAATCGCGATGGACTTTAATTGCATCCATTTTTACAGAGTAATATTCCAATAGATCGCAAGATTGTATTCAATCGCTCAATCATTATGATTCATCAGATTTTCATGATACGTATAGGAAAGATTTCTATAAAAATTATAATGTTTAATATCATAATTTATTTTGTGTTAAACAAATGACGCCACAGGTGGCATTACGCCACTTTCTTATATGTCAATGAGAAATTATTTTGATCCAAGAAAAAGATATTTGCGATATGCCATTGAAGAGAGAGAGAGAGAGAGAGAGAGAGAGAGAGAGAGAGAGAGAAAACGCGCGAAGAGAAAGCTTCTTCTCTGAGAAATAAAATAATATCTGCCACGTACATGGGAAAAGCAAAGATGATTTTCGCACTGATCGCCGTTGGATTCGAGTTTCGACCATGGCCCAGAAAATAAAGAGGCTGGTCTCTTTCTACACGCGCGTCCTCGCGCCACGTCTTTGCGCGGAATGTCGCGTTACGCAATATCGCACATGCACTTCGATTTTCGAATACTAAGCGTCATTACGCAGACGATTCCATTGACATTAACAAATCCGTAACGACGTCTGCGACGAGTCGACATGATGGCAGCATAGATTCGCGCGAGCGTAAGCCGCGAGCTCGCCTGACGAATTGCGAGCCGTAACTACTTAATACGATGACGTCAATTGTCGGATGAATATAGCAGTACGCGAACGTCTTATAGACCATCGGCAGATTGCATTTTCAGTTTGTCATTATTGTAATGATCGCCATAAAATTTTATTTGCGATCATCCTTTTCGATTCGGACGAACAATAGTTTGAAGTGTGTTGCTTGAGTTCTCGCCGGTTCGCCAATTACAGATTGCAAAACACTATTAATTCGAGCATGATCATTGTCATGCGCGTAAAATTTGAAGAAATTGTTCAAATATTTAGAATGGAATTAACAGAAAGTAACAAAATTAATAAAAAGTAATAGAAATGCGAGGGGCGATGCTCGATAGGGTGGCACGGCCGAGGGGTATAATCCTGATGAATGAGGGCCGGCTTAAGGCATTCGCATTCGTAATGTTGTATTTACGTAATCGATCGCCACATCTACGACCGGCGTATGGATTTCAGTATCACTCTGCGAACGGCGAGTCGCGCATCCATTTACCTCTCGTCATTCATTACGCGCGCAATGCGTCTGGCGTGACCTGCACTTAACGCAATCGTAATCACAACATTGCGATCGCACGACGATCGGTCATAACGGTAATTACACGTGTCGTGGAATGGAATAAACCGCGTTAATGACAAACGCGGAGATTAATCAGACCGCGGAAAATCCGCGGCTATCGCGGAATTTACCGCGTAATAAGATTTACACATAAATCGATAAACAGTAGCTTCTTCTCTTCTTGTAACGAACAATCTCTCCGTGACGAATACGAAAATTATGCACGCGTGCGGGATGAAGCCTTCGCGACGAAGTGCACACGACTCTTGACACGATTGAAATTTGCGCTTCAAATGCAATTGATAATGTGCTGTGACTGAGATCATACTGCTAATTGTAAGTGATTAAAGTAATTTATTATACTTGAAGTAATTTATTCCGCGAGACTCAATAATTGACCGCCTGACGCAATCTCTCCTTGATAACGTAGATTTATTAGATTACGCGTTATTTTTTGAATTCCATATGTTTCCGTTTGTTCAGCTCGTTCAAGAACGGGAAGGAAATATATATTAACATGGAAATTATAGTGATTAAATAAGATGTCATTTATTAATAATGTATGAATAATTTAACATGTTGCCTATGTACATACATGTTTTTATTTTTATTATTAAAAACCAGTTCATTATATAATAAAAAAAAAATCTAAAAAAATTGATTGAGACATTTAAGTATTACCGACTAAAAATACATAAAGGAACATTTAAAGAAATCTTACGTCATATCTAGAGGCTTTAACAACAACTATAAACGAACTTTTGTGATTCTTGGATAAGCTTATTCGCACCTGCGATTTATACTTTTAACATACTTTTATTACACGCTGATAAAATAAATAGAACCACTTATTCAAAGAAATCACGGCATCATCCTGCCATAGTTCGCCGCGAGACTATCGGATGAATAAGCGGTTTTTACCGACCGCGACCGTGACCATATCGTCTTATCCTCATGCAGTATTAAGTGATATTGGCGGCGCCGGTGAACTCCGACATCAGTACGATGCTACCATTAAGTACGCAAGAAAACGCAGTCGTGCCCATCCCATCTATGATCCTCACGGTCAACTGTCACATCGGCATGGCGATTCACACGATAAACTTATTCAAGAATTGCAAGAGTTTATAGCTTGCTTGTGTTATCGCTCACAACATGTAGACATGGCGTAGAGTTTTTTTAAGTGTTTCACATATTAATTTTATATTGCGACGAGAAATTAATGAAAAATGTTCTTCGCACGTATTACAATTTTGCTAATTTGTAATAGGCATTTCTATTAATTTTCTATAGCTCCATATGCATAAGAATGTGATTAAATATTTAATTTCATAAGTGAAATTATGCGTGTCGTGCATAGCTGTAACTTTGAAAAGTTACAATAACTTTTAATGATTTTATATACATTTTCTTTGTTTGCTGGACTCTACGATCAATTTCAATAATGATTCAATAAATATAAAGAAAAAATGCGCGGATCGATGAGGAAACTTAAGGTCTAATCGAGAATAAACGCAACCTTGGCGAAACGAGCAATTGATTTACGAAGTGTCGCGGTTTACTTTGATGTATAGTGATATATTTTACGAATAATGGGAACCAATCTCTTTTCTTTTGCTTGATTGATGAAATTTCAATTTGCGTTCACGGAAAGAACAGTTTTGCTGAAAAATAATTTTGTTGGACTATCAAAAATGATTATATAAGAAACAAATTAATTACTAAAATATAAAAAGATTTTGCAATATTATCATTACGTTTAAATGTTCTACATAATGATTTGGATGTCCCAATAAAATTATTTTTCAGGTCTGTCTCTGATCAAATTTTTAAATCTTAAAAATTGCTTTTTTCATGTTGAATTATTAATATATTCTTTCATATCAACGAAATAAAGAAATTCTATTTTTATCTCATGATAAATAAATTGGGATTATTTTCAATTCCATGCACGTGTGCTAATCTTATATTTAACTGTTATTTTCACATTGACGGAAATATATCTTTCCTCTCACAGACCAAATACAACCATGGGACGCAAACGGGACGTCAAATCGTGCCCGTCCACGACGAAAACCAGATCTAAATCCGCATCACAAACACACGATGATCGGTACGACGATAATTGGGCTAATCGAATTAACCTTCGTCTATTCTACTAAAATTTGTTTATCACATAAGTTAGACAATCACAAACGTTCTTTAAAAAAATCACTTACAATTATTAATTATAAATTATAAATATTACAGCAATTATAAATTTATTATTTATCTAGAGTATAGCATATTACGTCTTGTATGTTATATCACTATTGCACTTAATTGAACAAAGTGCACAGACGTTAAATTAAGAAAATCAAGCTATTTATTGATTCCAATTTATTGATTCCAATTAAAAGTTTACGAAGGTTAATCCTTAGGATGATTGTTTGCAACCGCAACGTATATTTCTTCTCTTTCGTAGACGCGAGACATCAATCACGCGACGGAAATGGCGTGATAAGTTGCCCATGTTACAATTACCCGAGATAGAACGCAGTCAACGAGCTGATCGGTAAAACATTCTTGTACTATTTGCAATTCTTAGCGATGGCTTCAAATAAGAATTCTGATTTGGTCCTATTTATGAACAATATTTAATCCCTCTGAGATAAACAATGACAAGAATCATCTTTGAAAGAACACAAACTTATATTATATATATATATAAATTTCAATTATTATTATAAATTTATTTCTAGTCTATATCTAATCTTTTAAAGAAAAATTTCTAAAATATTTATCAATGAATTAGTTTAACTATATTTTTATATAGTTCTATTTTCTAGTTAGCATTTTCTAGTTCTGTTATCCTCCATATTAAATAATTCTTTTTAAAGTGATGTTTAACGAGCTCTTGAGTGGAAAGTTTTGTAATTAATATTCGACACACCCTAATAATTCAACTAAAATGAAATCGGAGAATGAATCCATCGCTAATCGTGACGTAATGTGTGATGTAATAATCGTGGTGTAATAATCGTGTGATGTACATTTTCTCCGTCTGGCAGGCGTATCAGTGCATTAATCTATTTTATATCTAGATTAAGGAAAGCTAAACGACATGCGGCTCGAGTCGGCGATATGCCGTCAAGCTCCGTATTGATCACCGAAATTACGCAGGAGCAAGCTGAAAGGTCTGAATTTACGATCTTTAATTGGATCTCTCTGTTATCGATTACATGTGCACTAAATGTTGCAGTCATTTCTCGATTAATGTAATTATCCGATAACCGAGTTTCACGAGCGCACTGATCGTATTGTTATTTCCAGTGTGTTGTTTGCGTACTGCAAAGCCACCTATTTTATCTCTTGTAAATGAATCTACTTTTGTGATTGTGATCAAAATCGAAATGCGAGTGTCAAAAGAGCGTGTCAGAATACGTTTCTCGAAATACTTCGCAATCTATCACAATGCAATGTTACCTCGACTGCAACTGCATTTCTTATCAATGCACGCACGCGGGCAATTGTGCAAATTCACAGCGGATTGCAACCCGCCTATGATTCTTTTTATGATTGTATGTGTCATGTATTGTATGAATATTCTATACACGCAAGCATCTTAAATTTGCAAATGTTCTTCTTGTCTTACACGGCATGTAAAAAAAAATCATCAGATGGAATTCCATCATGAATTCTGTTTTCCACGAGTTACACGATCGGCCTAAGGCGGCCCTTTATCGCAACAAGCGTAGTTTTGTAAAAGTCGCGTGCGACAGACAATCGCGTTATTAACGTATCCGGAAGCGTTTTTGTCTACGTGTTCTTTCCTACGACGTTGAATTTGCCGCAAAAGTTTGCGCAATTCAATGGCTTCGTCCGGCCTTTTCCTTTTCTTTCTCGTAATACGCATTCTGCGCGTCCGGTATTGTAATATAATTTGCCGCAATGCATCGCAATAAATTCGCAAGAATCCTTGCGCATCGAAAAAAACGTTACTATTTCTGTTATTCATGCCATGAGTCGACCTACATAGATGATAGATGAATCCAAGATCATTCATTTCCCAGCGGCATTCTCTCAGGTGATATCGGTGCATTTATCTATAATTATTAAACAATGTTGCATACACGGAGTAAATTAATTTCTGGAATAATATCACACGCGGCAAAATGTATTTATATTATATAAAATGTGTAAAATTATTATATTAATTATATATTAATTATATATTAATATCAGATATTATTTAATAAAACTTTATGTACATTTGTTTAGTACAAATTCCATTTTTACAATGACTTAATTGTTTCATTTAATCGATTGCTTTCCTATTGCTTTCATTTAACATTGACGTATCATCATTCTGTTGAATAATTTATTAATACAAAATGTAGTACACATGAATTGCGAAACAGTGTTCTACGTACGGTCATCAATGACGTATCTTATTAAGATGAATAATTTTTTTCAGTAACAAGGAAAATAGATATATATATATATAGGAAGATATATAAGCAATATCGTTAAGGAAGCTAACAGGAAATTGTGGTTCACGTCATTGGTTGATGAAGTCACAAATCGTTACACACATACTTAACGTTAATTATTAAATACTGTGACGTCGAAACAGTACCGCGTGACTTAATTCTGATATATTTTGTATGTTAAAATTATCAATTTTTTACTCATTTTTATATCGTGATTAAAAGTTTGTATTAAGGACGATAATAATAGAAATAATAAATTGCTTCACTCCTTTTATAGTACCTGCAAACTTCCGTCATTTATAAAATAATTGTTCGCTGCAATAGAGAAATAGATTGGTTATTAGTACAGGTCAACATAGGTGTGGATGTTATCTTGAATAGAGGTAGGAATCAAATAATCGATTAACTTGATGAGAGAATAATTATAGAATAGTCAATATGCTACTTTAATTGAGTGAAATTTAAGACCGAAAATTAAAAAATCAATTATAATAATCAGAATTTATTTTGATAATTACTAATTAATCAGCATTAATTTTAATAATTATTAATAACTGTGCTGTCACAATCGTGCGGATGATAATAAATATTCATAGTACTCTCTAAATCTTAATTCATGGTAATACTTTGAATACTTAAAACTCGGTTTAGGTCATGATGTCAATATGTAATTTTAGTCGAGTGAAATATAGGATCGAAAGTCAAAAAATTCATGATAATAATCAGGATTTACTTTGATAATAATTTTAATAATTATTATTATGCTGTCACAACCGTACGGATAATAAAAAAATTTGTAGTATTATTTGCATCTTAATTCAATGCTAATAGTTTAAATATTTAAAACTTGATTTGAATCATGATGCCAGTACGTTACTTCAATCAAGTGGAACGTAAAATCGAAAGTCGGAAAATCGATAATCAGGATTTATTTTAATAATAATTTTCTATAATCGTACCATCGCAATCGTACTAATGATAATAGAGTACTCTCCGCATCTTAATTCAATGTTAATACCTTAAATACTTGAAATCCGGTTTGGGTCAATACGTTATTTTAATCGAGTGGAATATAAGTGCGAAAGTCGGAAAATCCATGATAATAATTCTCATTTATTTTCATGATAATTTTCAGTAACCATAATCCTGTTATAATCATACGAATAATAAATCTGTAATATTTTCCGTATCTTAATTCAATGCTAATATCTTAAATACTTAAAATCCAGTTTAGGCCATAATGTAATTTTATCCCATCTGCAATGCATCAAGTTTTGTATTATAATGTATAGTTTTATATTATATTGATATAAAATGCGGCTGGAACCGCGTGCGGTTGCAGCCGCATTTTGTATACTTTTGCGATACAGTTTTTATACAGTTCGTGACGGCATAGTATATGTCAACAGCTATAACTCAGGATAATTGCACGTGATAAAACATTGCTAATTCCCCTTCACATACGCAAAGTGTGGTAATCCAGCGAATAAGTATGCGTGAAAACTTTAAAAAACGCGCAATTTTGCAACTTGATATTATGGCAACGTCTGTACATATCCAACTTACCGCGTTCCTTATTTATTAAACATGTATTCTTGAATTATGCCTATGTAATAAGTAAATGTCTATCTGTTATAAAAATAAAAAGTAATCGCAATTGTTCCAATGTTACTTAAATATATAGTTGATTTAATACGCTATTGGTTTGTGGAAAATAACTGCTTTTCTTCTATCACGATTAATATTTTTTCGTCTGGCAGACAGGCGTGTTGGAAACTTTCTTCGATTATACCGGAGATAACGAGCTATTGAAATTATTGTTCGACGGTCGATTGTTTGGACTAATCCAACCGCTTACGTTTGCGCAACAACAAAATAACAAATAGTAAGACGTAGTTCCGACAACGCTCTGTTTCCAATTAAAAAGGGAAAAGTCTATCGATAAGAAAAGGGAAACACTTTCTTAGGTGGGATATAATTAAAGCGAGATTTCTTTATCGCGAAATATCGTATATATCGTATATATCGTATAATAATTTCGAGCTCATGAAGCAAAATACGGATTCGGCGGTTGCCTTGAGAAGGAAAATCACGAGAAGGAGATCGTCGAAGCGTGACGTGCATGGAAAAGCGGGAGCGCGAGAATTCACGCTCGTGCGGCTCTACGCGTGTGCCA